TCTTTCTACTCAATATCTTCAACCAGCTCTTGAGAAATTTTCTTTTCTAAATGACTCAAAAATCATTTTTTCCAATTCAATTTACTCAACTAGCTTTTCCACTCATAAATTTACCCAAACTTCTAGAGAACAAATGACAAGATTTGTTATTGCTACTGTTCTCCATATATCCCTCCCTCTCTCGCCTACTTCATCTGAAGATAATTGTCAACAACAATAGGTCTGTACATTTAATCATTCAGTGTAGAGCTATGTGTTGAGCCAAACAAATCTTATTCCCCAACCGTACAATTCCTTGACTTTGCCTCACCAGGCTGTTCTTCTACTTCTCCCACAGCTTTCCTCTGTGGCCAGTAGAATCCCTAGTGCATGGTAAATACATTTCCTTCTGACTTCTACTCTTTCAGAAAAACTTGCCTCTGAAATATGGGTCTCATTTAAAGACACTGCTTGACTCTTGACTCATGCAGGCCTCTCAAAAGAAAAGACTCATTCTTCCATGGGCCATGTACATTAGGGTCAGGAGAGAAGGAGGGCCCGTCTGCTCCTTAGCACCAGTAATAGACCCAACACTTTGCCACGCTCAGTGCAAAGCCTGTCACCATTCATGTCCATGACCTCTGACTAGACTTCCTTTCTCTCCTCCTTATCCCTAGTCTATGTGGCAAACCCATTTAACACACTTGCTCCAGGTCCTTGACCTCCTCATCTCCATTATTCTCTTTCACTCACTTCAGTCATCCACATTCTAGACTCCATCTTGCACTTTGTCATCCCCTAAAACGACTACTCCTACAACTTCCTACCATTTCTTTTTTTTAATAACTTTTTAGTATGAATTGGGGGAAAGTTTACAGAGCAGATCATCAGTTTTACATTCAACAATTCATACACATTTTTGTTTTCATTGATCCACTGCAATTCTTAAATTTGTTGTTGATGTTAGGTACTGTTGAGTTGATTATGACACATAGCAACGCTATCATACTAAAGCTAAAATTCTGAGTACCCTGTTTACAGAAGGTTATGGATAACATAGCCCCAAATCCATTGGCAGAGCTTTCATTAAGTTGCTTCTTAATGTTAACCAAGGATATAGATCATCTTGGCTTCAGGCAGAGTGCATTAGGAAAGTAGATTACCTCCACCCCTCTCCAGCCACCCTAGAGAGGAGCAATCTCTTAAAGGTTTGCCTGGGTGTGTCCTTGATAGCGATCACCATAATGGGGACAGTACAGGAGGTCACATAGTCATTAGTCATGTCTATACGTCTCATCCTACAGCCTTGGTCAGAAGACCCTGGACCAATCTCATAAGCCCTTCTATCTAACATAATGTGCATGTCCCAATTATGGCCCTGTTCCCGCTTCTGTAGTTCTACCTTAACTGTGATGTACTGATCTGCCACCAGTCATGAATTTGTGACAGTTCCTGTTGTTCCATGCCTTATTTAACCAGTATCCTGACCGAATCTTCAGACACCATCTGACCTTATACTAATGGCCTCCTTCATCACAATGATGTGCCTGTGTCTTTGTGTTGCTTTGTCTCTTTTAAGGTTTAATAAGTGTCCTCCTTTTATTTTCTTTGAACTTAAGGACTCCTTTTGCCATAAAATACTATGTAAAACAGAACAAAACACTGCCTGGTTCTTCACTATCCTCACAATTGTTATGTTAGGAGCCCGTTGCTGCAGCCAGTGAATCAATCCATCTCCTCGAGGGTCTTCTTTTTCAGGGACTGCTCTCTTCTGACAACATGTCTAAAGTATGTTAAACGCAGTCTCACTAGCTTTGCTTCTAAGAAGCATCCTGGCAGTACTTCTTTCAAGATAAAGACTTGTTTTCTAGCAGTCGAAGGCACTTGCAATTTTCTTCACCAATACTATGATTCAAAGGTATCAAATCTTCTCTGGTCTTCCTTATTCATTGTCTAGTATTCACAGGCATATGAGGCAATTGAACGTACCATGGCTTGGGTTAGGGGCACCTTAGTCTTCAAATAAAGTTAAATCTTTCCCTTTTAACACATTAAAGAAGACTTGTGCAGCAGATTCTTCCAAACCAATAATATATCCTTTGATTTTTTTAAAAAAATCGTTTTAATGGGGGCTCTTATAAAATTCCACGCATCAATTGTATTAAGCATATTTGTACATATGTTGCCATCATAATTTTCTAAACATTTACTTATAAGCCCTTGGTAACAGCTTCTCTTTTTTCCCCTCCCTTGTGAACCCTTGATAAATTATGAATTATTGTTGTTTTCTTATCTTATACCGACTGCTTTCTCCCTTCACCCATGTTTCTGCTATTCATCCCCCCTGGGGGTGGGGAGTGATTATGCATCGATCATTGTGATCAGTTCCCTCTTCCTACCCTCCTCCCACCACCTTGACCTTACCCTCCTGGTATCGCTACTCCCATTTCTATTCTTGAAGGGTTTATTGGACCTGGATTCTGAGTGTCTTGAGCTCTTATCTGTACCAGTGTACATGCTCTCGTCTAGCCAGAACTGAAAGTCAGGACTGGGCTTATGATAGTGGGAGGTGAGGAAGCCTCAAAGAATCAAAGGACTATTGTGTTTTTCATGGGTGCTATACTGTGCCTTGGTTGACTCCTCCCTTTCTTGTGACCCTTCTGTGAGGGGACGTCCTATTGGCTACAGATGGGTTTCGGGTCTCTGCTTCCTTCATTTTCAACAATGTGGTTTGTTTGTTTGTTTGTTTGTTTGGGGTCTTCTGGTGTCTGTTACCTGATTCCGTCGACACCTCATGATGGCACAGGCTGTTGTGCTTCTTCCATAAGTGCTTGTCGCTTCTCTGTTAGATGGTTGCTTCAAGCCTTTAAGACCCCAGACATTATGTCTTTTGATGGCTGGGCACCATCAGCTTTTTTCACCACATTTGCTTATGCACCCATTCTGTCTTCAGAGATCCTGTTGGGAAGTGAGCATCACAGAAAGCCAGGTTGTTAGAACAAAGTGTTCTTGCTGTTGTTGGGTCTATAGTCCTCTCTGTGCCTTAGCAGTTCTGTGCAGGGATGTCATTCTCTGGGTTTGGTGTGCCAGTGTGGGGCCTAGTCCTTTACTCTCTCTTTTTCCTTCTTGGTTTGCTTCTGTATGGACGTGGCAGACCAGCCTCTCTCCCCAACCGGTAGGTTTAGTGTTTTCCTCTGTAGCACATACTTCTGGCAGGGGGTTGGGGGGCATCTGTTTGGCTCTGATTGGGGCCAACCTTGTAGACCTCTCTGTTCATGTCCTATTTTCATGAACATTGACTGCGGATCCAAGTAAAACAAAATTCTTAACCATTTCAACCTCTTCTCTCTGTTAAGCATGATGTTCTCTATTGGTCCAGTTGTGAGGATTTTGATTTTCTTTACATTGAGTTTAATCCATACTGAAGGCTGCAGTCTGATTTTTATCACCAAGTGCTTCAAAGTGGCTTTTGCTTTCAGCAAGCAATGAAGCCTGGTGGCATAGTGGTTACAAGTTGGGCTCCCATCCTCAAAGTCCACAGTTCAAAACCACCAGCCACTCCCCAGGAGAAAGATGGGGCTTTCCACTTCTGTCAACAGTGGCAGTCTTGAAAATTCAGTAGCAGTTCTATCCTGTCCTATCAGGTCACTACAAGTCAGCATCAACTTGATGGCAGCTAGTTTTTCAGCAAACGAGTTGTGTCATCTGCATATCACAGATTATTAATGAGACTTCCACTAATCCTAATGCCACATTCTTCCTCACATAGTTCAGCTTTCTTGTTCTTTATCATCACTCTCAGCTCCCTACCAGTAAACTTTCATTGGGACTTCTTGATATAAGTCTACTACCTAGAAGCCTCCTACTTCTTCTGGCCCCACTCCCTGGCTATCATGCTCTATACCCTTGCTCAGGCCTCTTATAATCTCAATAGATTCTACACCTAAATGCCAGCTCCATTCATCCGTGCCTGGTTTGACCTGCCCCATTCAACTTTCATTCTTCCATTCTGAATGAGTGAAATTAAAATCTGTGTAACTGTTACAATTTATTATTTTTAAAAAATGCTTTTGGGTATTCATGTTATTTTATCCACATGACAATCTCTTATGGGACAGAAGCTCAAGATACTATTGCAGAAGGGGGAAAAAGAGATTCAGCGAGTTTATGTTGCTTACAGTCTCAACATATCAAAGAGTGGAAACGATTGACCATCCTAGTTGTCAAAATGAATTCTCTTTCATTTCATCTGAGACACCTATGTTGTGCTCAGTTGTTCCACATGCTATTTGTGGAGATGTCAGGGATGGGTGGGAAAGAAACACGTAAATTAGAATGAGAGATGCAGAAGACGAGCCTAAAGAAATAGTACTGTGAAGGCAGGGGTCATCACAGGATCAGTTTCCTACATGTAGTCTTCCAGAAGCAAATATTCAGGTTACAACTGCTGGCTCACAGACAGCAAGCAAGGAATCCAGTCAGTAAAATGCAGGGAAACTCCATGCTATCCAAACCGCTTTTAGCCCTTGATGCTGATTCCCCCAACTGAAACCCAATAAAGGAAAAATATTCAGAGCACTGGAACAGCCATTGAGCCAAGAGAGGTGAAAGTGGGTACAGAAGAGAACAAGAGAAGGTGAATGTGGAACTTTGCTGTAGGAAATGCCTTCCACACATAATTAGTATGTATTGGAAGAGAGAATTAGTATCGGACATGCTCACTTCTATACAAAACAATAATAAAACAGCACTCTGTGCCATGATGTTATAAAGGCCATAAATACAATCTGGTAGAAATCAAAATGAATACATAGAAAACAATAATACTGAACTAAAACAACTTAAATTTTTAACAATTGTATAAGATGTGTGCAGAAATTAAAAAGATATGACTAATAATCTTTAAGCTTATTGGATCAAAACTGATATATTACATCTGTATATGTACATATCTCTAATACAACTAACCTTGTTATCTATCCTAGGATGGCTCTCTATAATAAAAAAATGTAAATATTTACCTTATAGAAGATCAAAAATAGATCATCCAGTTTCCCATGCAAATCACCTGGAGTACAAAGGAAAATATTAAGTGTTCAGTAGGAAACAAGATGATATGAAATTTTAAAACTGAAACACTGCTGATAGACTCAAATACCCACCCTTCTTAGCACATGTGTTTTTGTTTGTTTTTAAGCCGTGTTGGATTAATAGACCATTTGGCTCCATAGCACTCTTTCCTTTTCTTCCTAAAAGGGAAAGACCATCTTGTACTGCATTTACTTTTTCTCCTCTGCCATTGATATGGGACTTAGTTTATCCTAGGCCAGGCAGTAGATCAAGCTTTTACATAGCATCTTGTTCAATCCTTTAAAACCATCCTATGAGATGGGCATTGTTTTCATCATTCTCATTTTACAAATGCAGTTTAGAGTAGTTAGATAATTTATGCAAAGTTACCCCAATACCAAGAATGTGAGTTGGAATTCAAACCCAACTTTATCTCATTTAAAAAACCTGAACTTCCTGACTTGTTATTCTAAACTTGTATCAATAATCTTTTGAAAAGAAATCAATAGTATTTAGTATATCTATGGGGAGAATTAAGCCTCTACTGTTTTTTTAAATAACTTTTATATATACTACTGAGCTCAAAAGATATGTTGCATTAGGTAAAACTGTTGCATAAGACCTCTGTACAGTATTGGACAGCAAAGATGTTACCTTGAGGACTAAGGAGCGTCTGACCCAAGCCATGGTTTTCTCAATTGCCCCATATGCATGGGGAAGTTGGACATGGAATAAGGAAGACTGAAGAAGAATCAATGCATTTGAATTGTGGTGCTGGAGAAGAATATTGACAGTACCATGGACTGCTAAAAAGACAAACCAATCTGTCTTGAGAGAAGTAAGGCTCTTCAGAGATAAGGATGGCAAGATTTTTTGTTTTATATACTTTGGACATATTTTCAGAAGAGACTAGTCCCTAGAGAAAGATAACATGCTTGGTACGGTGGAGGAACAGTGAAAAGAGGAAGGCCCTTAAGGAGATGGATTGACACAATAACTGTAACAATGGGCTCAAGCATAGGAACACTTGTCAGGATGGCACAGGACCCGGAAGGGTTTCAATATGTTGTGCAGAGGGTTGCTCTGGGTCAGAACCAACTCGATGGTACCTGACAACAACATTGGTTTCATAATGTTCCTCATGTTTTGATGGCAAGTCCATCCATCTCCCACTCTTTTCTCTTTGCTGCATATGCTGAATGAAATTTGTTTGCATCACTATGAAAATAAAACAAAAACCCATGCTCTCAGCGATTAGTCTGCACTACCTATGCTGCAATCTCCAGCAGCTCAGCAGCAATATCTGGTTTCCAAACCCCAGGGCCACAGAGCTGACTCTGTCCTCTAGCAACGCTATAGGTCAGAGTAGAACTGCCCCTGTGGGTTTTTGAGACCTTAGCAGGAGCATACGGCCTCATCTTTCTCCCTCAGAATAGCTAGTGGTTTCGAACAGCTGACCTTGCAGTTAGCAGCTCAATGCATATGTTTCGGTCACCATTAAATGTCCAAATGCCTATCACAGCACCTGGGAAATAGGTGATACTCAATAAATATGTCTTTCATTGCTAAATGTGAAACCATTTAAAGCCATGTTTTAAAAAGATGCTCCAGGAGTAGTTTCTAGAATTTAAAAACTCCAAGTCGATGTCTCATTGTTTTGATGAGGCAGCTACAGGAGATAACAACGAAAGCATGATTTTATAAAATTCAGCCAACTAAGGGAAGTCATATGAACATATGAGTCTATTAATTCAAAAACAAGAGTGCATATTAAAAAAGTCCTCTTTGAACAACTGTTTCTAGGTAATATAAGATCTGCTTATAAATTTGTATTCTCTGTATCTAACTAAATTACCAAATATAACTTAATTTAGAAATACTTTCCCTCAGGTTCTTTCAAACCCCACAGCCAAGATTAACAAGATACACACATGAGACTACTCTGATTACAATGGTATAACAAAAAATGAAAATCTTAAAATGAAAATGGTATAACCAAAAATGAAAATCTAATGATTATTTACAAAATATGATTTTACTATTAAGATTAAGAGCATCTGAAGGGGCTTCAAAAATTTCATGGAAAATTCAATTATCTTTTAATCTTACTTTTTCACAAAGATTTTAGGCCCCTTCATATAAGGTAATTTTAATACATAAATCTCATTGCTTAAATATGCTCTCGCTCTCCAAATATAAGGAAATAAAAATGGAAGTTTATTTTTATTTATCAATCAAGTATATAGTTTTGATTATACTCTCTTCACTGCTGATATAGTACTTCTCCATTGTCTCTTCACACAGATGCAGTAAATTTGATTTCTGTGTGTTTCATCTAGAGAAGTCTACATATATAGTCATTTGTCTTACTATAAAAACATATATTTAAGGCAGAAATCATTAGTTGTGCAAAATTCCATCATATCATCTCCCACTTTATTTTTATCACCAAAGCCATAGTTTCCAACTACTGTTCCTTCCTCTTTGTCTCCAGCTTTGCATTCCAATTGCCAATAATTATCAATGCATCTTGATTGCATGTTTGATCTATTTCAGACTAAAGACTTTAATTGAATTCTTCAATTTCTTCATGATTAGCTTTACTGGTTGGTATGTAAATTTGAATAATAGTTGTATTGACTGGATTTTCTTATATGTTGATAGATATACACCTATCACAGACAGCATTGTACTTCAAGGTAGATCTTGAGATGTCTTTTTTGGTGATGAATGCAATGCCATTCCTCTTGAATCTGTCATTCCCCACATAGTAAACCCTATGATTTTCTGATTCAAAATGACCAATACCAGTCCATTTCAGCTCACTGATACCCAGGCCACTCTTGCTTTTTTATGCACTTCATTTCATTTTTGATGATGCCCAATTTTCCTAGATTCAAACATTGTAAATTCCAAGCTCCAATTATTAATAGATGTTTGCAGTTGTTTCTTCTCATTTTGAATTGTTCCCTATCAGCAAATGAAGGTCCCAAAGGCTTTGCTCCTGAAGGTTTTACTCTATCTATGTCATTATGGTCAACCCTAATTTGAGAAGTCAGCTCTTTCAAAGTCATATTTGGAGTGCCTTCCGACCTGAGGGGTTCATCTTCTGGCACTCTCTCTGACAATGCTCTGGTGTTATTCATGAGATTTTCAGTGCCTCATTTCCCCAAAGTGGACAGCCTGTTCCTTCTTCACAGTCTGTTCTTAGTCTGGATGCTTTGCTGAAACTTGTTCACTTTGGGTGACTCTGCTGCTATTTGAAATAACAGTGACATAGCTTCCAGTATCACGGCAGCACTCAAAACACCTCAGTAAGACAAAGTGACAGGCAAACGGTGCACGATCTGATAAGTACTTTGAATAAAAAGTTCCCACTGCTGAGCTACATCATGTTCTGGGCAGAGATATGGTGGCCTGATCAAGTTGGAATTGAACCATCAAAGACTTTCTTTGTAAGCCCAGGTCAGATAATATCACAGAACATATACTCTGACATCGAGTGCCAATCATCACGATCAGATGCTAGAAATGATAATGGTTTAATTAGATTGTCAAATCCACCTCTACCTGTCAGAGTAAGAAAGGTGCCTGCTAAAAATTGACTTGGAAAATAACAATCGTTGCTTTGTAACCTAAAGGCTTAATTAGAAGCTAACGGGGTTGCTGTTCCTTCCACGCAACCCCTTCTCAGACAGTTGCAAGCATGCTGAGTACCAACTGTGATGAATTTCAATGTGTGCTGTTTCTTGAAGCAATATCCTGCCAGGCTGGGCTATATGATAACAAAATCTCAAATCTTGCTATTTAGAAGAACAAGGAACAGATTTCTGGGACATTACCATTCTTCTAAAAGCTGCAGAGACCAGTTGGAAAAATCTAAAACAATAGCCAAGGGCAGAGAGGAGTTTAATCCCCACACTGTCTTATGCTTTTCTCTTCCCTGCCTAAGTGGTACACAGAGACCCTGCTAGAAAGAGCAACATGGAACTAAGATAATGAGAGCTAGAGGGAGGGCAAAGAACACTTATTCCACCCATGAGGTTTTCCATATTAAAATGCTGTCTGCCTATATAAAAATCCATGAATTCTTTAATTTCCTACATAATTAATTCCTGCCAGCTGGTACGTAAAATAAAGATGGGAACAGTATTATCATTGTACATAACCCGATCAACACCTTTTCCTTACTACAGTTTACTTTTTATAGTTTTCAAGTCAGTCAAATGATGTAAAACCAACAGGCTCCTAGGTATTGATCTGACCACTCAGCTCTGACACTTACCACAGACTGTTATCTCTCTGCTGGGAAAGGTTTTTATATGGGAGACATTCGGCATCTGCATCAAGACTTTCTTGGCTTCAAATAGCACCGCTAAGACATAATGAGCATGAAGTATCTATGAGGGGGAGGCAGAAGAAATAAATATGATGAACTGGGAAGAAAGATATGATTTTGTAGAAAATTGTAACAGTAGAACATTTCAGGTAGCTGTATTTCAGGATAATTTCTAAACCATTCTCAAAGAGATTATTCTAGCACAGTCTCTGACATATCTCAGCCCCTCAAAAGATACATAAAATAAATGGGAGAATTAATGAAGGAACGATTCCTAGGATACAGAGATTCTCTTGTTCTTAATTGGCATTATCAAGCTACAGAACAGCTACGATTGTTCTTGGTCTGACATCCCAAGAGACGAGACAGATTATCCTAAGGAAATCTGTTGCCGAGAAAGAAAAAAGAGAAGGGAAAGAAAACAAAATGAAAGAGAAGTGCAGTCTGCCTAGGAGGTATTGTTTTGTATTAGTTTGCCAACTAAGATGGAAACTAGATGTTGCTTGGCTTAGAGATCTCACAAGGCAACCATACAAGTTCCCAAAGGAGGCCTAAGTCAGGCATCCAGGTGTGGCTCCAACATTTGATATAGAGACTTGGGAATTCACAGACCAACAAGCGCATTTATCTAAAAGTCTCACTAGAAAACATTCCACACCCACATAAAACTTTTGGATTATCTCCTACTTATGAGACTATTCATCTCATTGCTCCTCCAGTTAGAGTGTTGATGAGATCATTGTTTTGTACAGACTTACTCCGAACCTCTTACATGCAGACTTTTCTTAAAGCTAGCATGTCCATCTCTCTTTTTTATTTATAAATTATCCAACTATGTAATCTAAATAAGAAAAATGCTACAGCAGGTACTCATGTAACTATCACGTGGATTTAACAGATGTTGCTACCATGTTAGGGGTCAGGACTCTTTTTGACCTACACGGTCCAACCACATGAGACTATTGAGCACTTGAAATGAGGCTAGTCCAAAGTAGGATGTGCTGTGGGTACAAAGTATGCAGTGAATTTCAAAGACCTTAGTATCCAAAAGAAAGAAGGTCAAATGTCTCAATAATCATTTTGAATAGGATTTCATATTGAAATAGTGGTTTTGATCATTTCATTTATTTCTTTTCAGCTTTTCAATGTAACTATTAGAAAGTTTAAAATTACACATATGAATCACAATACATTTCTATTAGACAGCAATAATTTAGATTACTGAAGACTGAGAGAGGAGTCAGTAATCTCTACATATGGTCCAGATACTGCTCTGGGAATGGATTTAGGGGTAGATGGGACTGTCGGAACAATCTTGTCTCAGAATGTCCTGAAATTTACAGTTCCATAGTTATTAAAATAATAAAATAATTTTCTATCCCAGATCCCCAAAATATCTGATTTAAGATTTGAGAATTTTTGTTATTAAGTCACTAATTTTTTAAAAGACAGTAAACAGAATCTGAAACAATGTGAGTAAAGAAAAGGACCCTTGAGTGGTGATTAATTGGGGAGAGGCTCCTATTTCCTCTCTAATACCTAATGGACTGCTAAGTATTTTCCCCAGAAAACAATCTAATCCACAAACCAAATCAAAACTTGAATGCGAACTTTCCTTTAGCCACATTTAAAAGAAATAGACAAAAGACTTTTGTATAGTGCTATAGTTCAATTTGCACATTTACTATATTGATTCTCAATGCCGGCTTCATGTTATCTTAACTTATTGTCATTTTTCTTGTTCCTGTGTAGTACTAATCAAAGCAATTATTGCTTGAAGATGCCATTTTGCTTGGGTAAGATATTAAAAGAACAAATATTCATTGAGAATATATCACAACAGAAAATTTCTGTGATTAAATAGCTTTTCTGAGTCCTGTTTAGATTGGCTAAAATCTCTTTGCTAATATTAATATTTGCTTATCAGGCAATATTTCAATTCATTTATAATTGCTGTGTTTACAACTATGATACTAAATACTCAAAATAATTAAACCAGATGGTAATGTCTACATTTCTAAATATATTAGACTAAAAATAACAAATAATATGCACATTAAAAAATGTTGAAGAAAGAAAATTGAACTTTAAAGGATATTTCTTTTTTAAAAATTTAACTAGTTTTTAAATGAAACACTTTTTAGTGGAAATAATTATTTCAACAGTAAAATTTTTTTTATAAAAATGGAAAATAAATTTCACTCTTCCTCAGAATTCAGTCCCCCAATCCCTGTTCCTACGAACATTGTTAAGAATGCCTTCAGCAAGTGAGAGAGGGGCCAGACCACATCCCGAAGTGCCCAGCCTTGAGGGCAACATACTGGCATGGAGCAGCGAACTAACAGAGAAGAAGACGGGGCTGAACCCAAGCCAAGCTATGTTGACCCCCTCACGAGAATAATGTAATACAGAGGATAGCACTGAAGACATAGCCTGGAGAGAGTGGCAGGTCTGTCCAGACCACACAAGTCTGAACTAAGAGGGAAAGAGAAAGAGAGAGAACCTCAGCATGGCCCACCAAGCCCAGAGGACGACATACCTTCTCAGAGCAGCCAATGCACAGAGAGGACCTTAGGGCCGGCCCCACCACTAGACATGACATTCCCTCACTGACCCATAGCACTATGGGGACAGCACTGGAGACACTATGTAGTAAGTGTGCCTGGTCTGCTCAACGCACAGTGGGGTGAAACTAGAAGTGAGTGCAACAGGGCAGCAAGGGGAGCAAAGTAACCAAGCCCCAGGAATCTTGAAAATAGACTTCTGACTTGGGGGACAGGGCTTGGCACCTCATCAAACCCGATTGGAAAACACTCATAAGGGTCAGCAGACAGATCTGAAGCTATCTATTGTTTTTTTGGTGTGTGTTTTTTCATTTTTCCTAAGTCTATTTATATAAAATAGGCTGGACAAACAATCCTGAGGAAAAAAACAATGGGACCGGCAGTCCCGGGTGGACATGGGAGAAGATAGGGCGGAGAGGAGGAACAGCAGTGAGCCAACAAACTCAGGGATGAGGGAACAACAAGAGATCTAAAAATGATGGTGAAGAGGCGGGGTCTGATCCAGTGCAATATACCCAAGAGAAATCACTGAGAGCCAGTAGAGGATGACCATGATAGTTGGACAGGAAGAAGGTGGAAGAAAATAGAGGAAGGGAGTTGGAGGCAAAAGATATTTATAGAGGTATAGCTATAGGCATGTATATATGTAAATATATTAATTCATAATGAAAGGGATAGAGGCCAACATACATATATGTATATGTTAAGATAGCAGATGAATTTTTGGTCTCCCTAAACACAAGAACACTTTGTTCTAATAACCTGGCACTCTTTGATACTCACCTTCCTGACATGATCACTGAAAACAAAATGAGCACATAAGCAAATGTAGTGAAGAAAATGGATGGTGCCCTGCTATCAAAAGATATAGTGTTGGGCGTCTTAAAGGCTTAAAGTTAAACAAGTAACCATCTAGCAGAGAAGCAGGTGTCGATGGGATCAGGTATCAAAAGATCCCCAAACAAACAATTATATCGATGTGAATGAGGGGGGTTGGAGTGGAGCCCCAAAGCCCATCTGTAGACAATTGGACATCCCCCACAGAAGGGTTACAAGGAAGGGACAATTCAACCAGGATATTATATAATTGATCAAGGATTCACGAGGGTGAAAGGTTGGGGGAGGGAGGGGAAAAAAGAGGAGCTGATACCAATGGCTCAAGTAGAAAGAAAATGTTTTGAAAATGTTGATGGCATATGTACAAGCATGCTTAATACAATCAAATGATAGATTGTCACAAGATTTGTAAGAGACCCCCAATAAAATTATTTTTTAAAAATGCCTTCAGCATCTCACTGAGTTAGTTAGTTAGTTTATTGTGCCAACCTGGCCGATAAACACATGTGGGGCTAATTGAAGGGCGGAGGGATAAATGGCTCAGTGAGCATTGCCTTTCTAGTTCTCGGGTCACTTGCTTTCTGATGGTTGGACCAGGGTGCAGCTGCCTTAGCCAGTTCCCTTCTTTAGCTTGCAAGGCTCACATCCTGCAAGACATCCCTGAGGAAAAGCCACATGGACCTACCCTGATGCAGCCCTGGGTACTGGAGCCCCTGTGTGGAGATCCCTGCCAGCGCTGAGATGTTTACACATTCACTGACTGGGCTTTCCTCCTGCAGTTGGCATCATTGCGTCTGTTTTGTGAGATGGAGGAGGACTTTGTGGATTGGTGTTGGACAT